ATCCCCCCATCCATCCCCCCATCCCCCCACCCATCCACCCATCCATCCATCCACCCACCCACCCATCCACCCATCCACCCATCCATCCACCCACCCACCCATCCATCCATCCATCCCTCCAGCCACCCCTCCCTCTTCCTATCTCCCTCCCTCTTCCTATCTCCCTCCCTCCTGCAGCCTCAGCACTGAGCACTGCTGCTACTTCTCCGCGGGCTCCTCCACCCTGGTGCAGTTCTCTGAGCAGGATGGTGTCCACGTGCTCTCCAATGTCACGCTTTGGGTGGAGTCTCAGAGGGCAAATTGGACCATGAAGTCACAGAAGATAACACTGCAGCTGTTCAGCTGGGGTGAGCACTCTGTTCTCCTTTTCCCCCTATCACCTCAAAGATCCCCAGTCCCTGAGCCTAGGCTCTGGGAACATTCCAGGCCCAAGGTGAGGGACTGGATCCTGCCTGCTGTCCCACCAGTTGCTGCTGCAGTCTGTCTTGATCCTCAGGAATGCCCTATCGCTGGACACTTAGGTTTCTTCTGGCAATGCTCATAATTTCCTGAGCCCCTGCTGGGTACTGAAGTGTGTTTTCATGACTCAACACACCATTAGCAGATTTCTGGTTTGGTCTTGTGCGTGGGGTGTGGGTTGTGGGCAGGATCAAGGACGGATGTGGTCAGGCTAGTGAGAGGGCCACCCAGCTAAGAGAGGCCCAGTGAGCTCCCCCACAGGCAGGAAATGAATCCTAGCACCAAAAAATTCACTAGTCAATGGAAAGGATATTGCAAGACAAGATTTCTGTTTTAGGGAGAATGTGTGTTGTCTTGGGTAGAACCCAATACTTTCTGCATGCTCTGCCTCTGAACCAGGCCCCAGCCTCTCACTGGGAGATTCTAGGCAGGGGCTCTGTGGCTAAGCCCCACCACACCACCAGTGCGTAATACAATACATTTTTTAAAAATCTTGGGGCTTGCCGGGCATGGTGGCATACGCCTTTGATCCCAGCACTCAGGAGGCAGAGGCAGGCAGATCTCTGTGAGTTCAAGGCCAGTCTGTTCCACCTAGTGAGTTCCAGGACAACTGGGGCTACAGGGAGACCCTGTCTCAAAAAGACCAAAAAAAAAAAAATTCTTGGGGCTTATGCCCAGGTGATGGAGGGCTTGTCTAGCATGCTTGAAGCCTTGAATTCCACTCCCGGCACCATATAAATTCGGTGTGGTAGTGTACACCTGTCATCCTAGCACTTAAGGAGCCGAGACAGGAGGATCAGAAGTTCGAGGTCAGACTCCATACGTGACCAAGAAACAGAAACAAAAACAAAACCCCTCTCCCCTGACTGCATCACAGCATGTCAGCCTTAGCCTGCAGTACCTGACTCTCATTTGGGCAACTCATGGGGTAACCCCAGGCAAACTTTTCTGAATATTTGGACCCATCAAGTCATAGACATGTGGGCTGCCCCTCCCCCCACCTCTGTCTCTAGTTAAGCTGGACCCTCCCCTGGGAGACATCAATGTGTCCCGGTCTGATGGTCAAATTCGGATGATGTGGGAGACGTCAAAGGACGGTGCGGAGGTACAGTTCCGACGAGGCACTCCCAACAGCGGCTGGATATTGGTGAGCTTGTCTTTCGGTTAAAGGTACTCCCAGTCCCAGATAAGCATCCCATCTCCAGAGTCCTAACCCCTTACACACAGCTGCCTCCCTTGTCCTACTGCCCCAGCACCTGATCTCCACATCTAAGGGACCCCCCTGCACAAGCACCCTCTGGGGCTCCCCATTTCCCTCCAGAGGGCATCCTGATCCTCACCCCTTGCTGAGGGATCAGGTCTCTGCTTCCTTGGCAACTTCTAGAATGAGGCCATTATCTGCCAGGTCCCTGTGGTTCCAACCTCCTTGTTTTTCTGCACCAGTTTTTGCAGGTGCAAGTGGGGTCCATCCCCCTTCAAAAAGCTGAGGGCCACCACTTCCAGGAGGACAACCTGGAGCCACCCTCCCTCTTGCCTCCCTCCTGCCTCCCTCCCTCACTCATTCAGTCCTTAATTCTCTCATTCCCTCACTAATTCATTCATTCACCCACTCATTAATTCACTCATTCCCTCACTCATTCATTCACCCACTCACTCATTCCCTCATTCATTCACCCACTCATTCACTCAGTCACTAAATCATTGACTCATTCCCTCACTCATTCATTCACTCACTCACTCATTCCCTCATTCATTCACTCAGTCACTAAATCATTCACTCATTCCCTCACTCATTCATTCATTCACCCACTCACTCATTCACTCACTAATTCATTCATTCGCTCACTCACGCATTCACTCCCCACTTCATTCATTCCTCTGCTGCCCCACTGTCCCTCCAGTCCTGTAACCCTACTAGCCTACCAGAACCTCAGTTGCCCCCTCAGGTAAACAGGCATGAGATGAGTCTAGAGAGCCAGATGTGGTATCACACACCTCTCATCCCAGCACCTGGGAAGTAGAGAAAAGAGACTCATAGTCAGCTACACAGTTCTTCAAAAAGAAAAAAAGAGGGACTGGAGAGATGGCTCAGGGTTAAGAACACTGGTTTGTTTTTGCAGAAGACCCAGTTTCGAATCCCAGCACCCATATGGCGGCTAATGAACTGTCTGTAACTCCAGTTCCAGGGGATCTGATGGCCTTTTCTGTCCTCTGAGGGCATTGCATAACACAGGTGCACTTACCTACATGCAGGCAATACACTCATACACATAAAATATAAAACAATAAATAAAATATTTAAAAAAAGAGAAGTTCAAGCCGGCCGTGGTGGCGCACGCCTTTAATCCCAGCACTCGGGAGGCAGAGGCAGGCAGATCTTTGTGAGTTCAAGGCCAGCCTGGTCTACATAGTGAGTTCCAGGACAGCTGGGGCTACAGGGAAACCCTGTCTCAAAAAGACCAAAAAAGAGAGAAGTTCAGACAGCTCATTTTTGTGAGCCATCAAAAAATGTAAAAGAGTAAATAAACCCCATCTCTTTCTAGGGTGACTGTGGACCCCAGGATGTTTCTGGCTTAGGTGAGACTAAGAACAATCATGGTAGTTGCTGCAAGCATTAATGTGGCACCTACTGTATGCAGGGCCTGTCACCCTGCCCTGTGGTTTGGTGTGGGGTTTCTTCCCATTTGCATGTGATAACACAGAGCAAGTCACCATCAAATGGGGGGACTGGAGTCCACAGAAAGGGTCACCATCATATGAGGGACTGGAGTCCAGGGAAAGAATAAAATGGGTGAAAGAGTCCCAGGAACAGGCCTGGCTTCCCACTGTGTCTCTAGGCCCTGTATGTGGCTCTGTGCAGGTCAGAACTGGCTAGGTGACCTGTGTTAGCCACAGCACTCTGAGGTACACCCTGCCTCTGCTCAGAGTCCTGCCTCTGCCCTTCGGAGTTGAATGTGGCCCAGAAGTTCCAGGTCCGGCGCCGGCGCCGGCTCCCATCAGGGATTCCCGGAGGGCCCTGGAGTAGCTGGAGCGGCAATGTGTGTGTCCCACCTGGTGAGAGGACCCTGGGCCCCAGGAGCACTAGAAATAAGGCCACCTCTGGCTGGTGCAGGACAGTCATCCAGGCACTGTGAAGGCTGAGACAAGAGGGCTGTGTGTTTGGGGTCAGAGTGGGCTCCATAGCCAGATCTTGTCTCAAAAGGAGAGAGAGAGAGAGAGAGAGAGAGAGAGGAGAGATCCAGATGATAACTTGAGTACTTGGCTTTGGGGCCCCTCCTTTAGCATTCTGTTAGGTCAGAACATCAGGTTAAGCCTCCAGGGTGAAGTCACTTGCTTGAGGACCTAACAGTTTCTGGGACTGTCTGTCTCTGGTATCCTTACAGAAACCCTTCCCCAGCCCAAGATTAAGTTCCTGATGGAGCCACTGGGCCAGGATGGGAGGCGGAGGCTGACCGTACAGGGGCAGGTGACTGGGCCATCCTGGGCTGGGGGGCGGGCAGAGGAAGGAGGCAAAGGGGCCCAGAAAGACATGGAGAGGAGATGTTGGTGAGGTTATAGCGTAGCTCTGAAGGTTAGCTGGGTGTGGTGATATACGCCTGTTACCTGGGGAGGTGGAGTCAGGTCAGGAGTTTCAGGTCATCCTCAGCTACATAGGGAGTTGGAGGCCAGCCTGGGCTACATGAGACCCTCACTCTGAAGGTAATGGGAGTGTGCATGAGCAGGGTGGGGGGCAATGTTAGGTATGGCTTGCTCAGGCTGTGTCCTGTTTCCCACCCATCTCCCACTCCACAGTCACTGCAGCCTGATCTTCCAGAGAACTGCCAGGATGTCATGCCGGGTGGGCAGGTGACACACTTGGTACACATGAGAATGCTCTCCTGCCCCTGCCAGCCCTGGACCTCAAGGACTGTGAAGCTGGGCAAGACGTTGCACATCTCTGGGGCCGCCTACGACATGGTTGTAGTTGCCCAGACACGTTTTGCACGAAGTCCCATCCAGACCTGGCACCTTCCAGCCCAGGAGTTTTCAGGTGCTTGGGGCACAGGGATGGAAAGGACCAGGGAGCAGGCCAGGGGAGACTGAGCATGTGCCGGCCCGGGATTCCTACTGAGCATGAACAAAGCTGGGGTTCCTGCCCCACAAAAGTAAGATGATGTCTCTACCTCACAGAAATCCTTCTGCCTCTGCTGCCCAAGTGCTGAGATTAAAGCCACCATGTCCGGCTTCCCATAACATTTTTTTACCCAAATAGACACCCGTCATTGAGCATACCTGTCATCCCAGCACTCAGGAGGCTGAGACAGGAAGATTTCAAATTCTAGTCCACATAGTGGGACCTTACTGAAAACAACACAGCCTTCTTAATCTTGTCAGCTTTTTGGTCTGTGAGCTTGTCACTACGGTGCTGGGACAGAACCATACAGCAGCGGGTCTTTTGGCTCTAGGCTGATTGGGTCATGGTTCTGCTGGGCAGACTTAGGCTGGTAGCTCTTCCTCTCTGAGCCCCAGTTTGCATATGTAAAACAGGGCAAACAGGGTCCCACTTCGTTCCCAGGAGGTGCCTATAAAGTGCCACCCAGGTGGTGTTCAGGAAATGCTAGTTGCACTCCCTAGAGTTGGATGTACTGTCTGTGATTACAGCACACACCCCTGGGGCTCCTGTCCCTCTAGTGACACCCTGCACTCCTTCCAGCTCTGGGACCTCTGAACATCAGCCAGGAAGGCAACAGGACATCCCTGCACTGGGCAGCCCAGGCTCCAGGCACTGCCTACTGCATTGAGTGGCAGCTGGACAGCCAGGACAGAAGCCACGACAACTGCACTCTTACTGCACCAGAAGACAAGGTCCCGGCTGGGATGGGTGCGTCCCTTCGGTTAATTAACCCTTGGAAACGACTGACCAGCTCCACCCTCAGGACCTGCTCATACATGGTGTCTGAGGCCCCAGAGTCACTCAGCAGTGAATCCAGGCTGAGACTGGGACAGTTCCTCACAGGTCTTCGGCCTGTACTGATTTCCTGGGTTCAGCCCCTGGGCAGGTCACACCCCGGTGCATAATGAGTGTCACACCCCAGTGTGCTTGTTGAATAATTGCCCTCACCTACCAAGCTGGCATTTCACAAGATGTTTGTGGGAGTTAATGAGGTTTCAGAAGGAAAGAGGAGACAGATGGTTGCTGTGTCTTGGAGACTTCCTGCTCAGGGCTTGGGCTGCAGCCCTTGTGAAGAATACACTTTTTTTGGTGGTCTTAGAGATCCCCTAAATGGAGGCTGCAGAGCTGGACACAGACACCCCTTCCCCATGGAGTAAGGCTGGGAGCAGTGATAAGGTGTCCAGAAGTGACTATGGTTCAGGTCTTTGAAGCATGAGTAGGAGTTTTCTGCCTTCCTGTCAGAAAGAACTGCCAGGGCAGCACATGCACATTAAGGACATGCTTTGCTCAGTTACCTGGCCAATGTCGGTCTTTTGAGCAGCTCACACCTGGAGCCCAGAACCTGGGGCAATGAAGGAGGACTGTTACCGTGTCACCATCTTCGCCTCCTTGCGTCCCGATACGCTCTCATCCTGGTCGACCGTCCTGTCGGGTTACTACTTTGGGGGCAATGGTGAGTGACTCAGGCTTTGTCTCTCTGTTGGCCTTGGGTGTCTGGGAGGTATCTACATGCATCAATAGCTGTGGGCAGAGCCGGAGCTGTGGGCAGGGCCCTGCAGTGGGTGGAGCCAGAGCTAAGGGAGGAGCTGTGGTTGTGGGTGGAGACAGTTTTGTGAGCTGAGACAGGGATGTGGATAGGGCCAAGCCAGGGGGTATGGCCAGGCCGGTGGGTGTGATATCCCATTCTACAGGTACAGCAGAGGCTCAGAGAGGGTAGGCTGAAGACTAGTCTGTGCACAGCCTCTGGCAGGACGTGTAAAAGCCAAGCAAGTGCCACCTCGTGGGGTCCATACCCATTCAGTGGGGCTCTGTACACTGTCCTTGGGCCCCATGCCGGATATCTGTCTTGTGTGGTTTGTAATCACCCTATGTGGCCCGTACCTGCCCTGTGGGGTCTGTGCCCACTGAGTGGGGTCACGTGCTGCCTGTGGGTTCCGTACCCACCAGTGGGGCTCCTGGGTTCCCTCCCAGCACCTCTTGAAGGTGCTCAGCATTGATCCAACACTGTGTGGGTTGCAGCTTCGGTGGCCGGGAGGCCACAGCGTGTCTCCGTGAAGAACTACAGTGGAGACTCAGTATCCTTGGAGTGGACGCCATCTCAGCTGAGCACCTGCCCAGGAGTCCTGAAACAATACGTTGTGCGCTGGGAAGCAGAGGACAGTGAACCGGTGTCAGGTGCGGGAGAGCCGGGCTGCTTCTAGGGAACTTGGCTTGGTTCCATTTTGCTGTGTGATGCTGGGTACATCACTGACCCTCTCTCTCTTTCAGTTTTCCCCCCTTTAAAATAAGAAAATTTAAAGCCGGGCGTGGTGGTGCACACCTTTAATCCCAGCACTTGGGAGGCAGAGGCAGGCAGATCTCTGTGAGTTCAAGGCCAGCCTGGTCTACATAGTGAGTTCCAGGACAGCTGGGGCTACAGAGAGACCTTGTCTCAAAAAGAAAGAAAGAAAGAAAGAAAACTAGGTTCAACGTTGGTTTTTTTTTTTTTTTTTAACTTTTTAGTCACATTTAGATTTATTTTCTATTTGTGGGGCAGAGGGATGTGCCTGTGCCAGGGCTCAGGTGCAGAGGTCAGAGAACCTTGTGTGAGTCAGTTCTCTCTTTCCACCATGTGTGTCCTGGGATCAATTCTGGTCATCAGGCTTGGAAGCAAGTGCCTTTACCAGAAAAGCCATCTCACCTGCCTGTTTTTTTGAGTCTCATGTATTTTCACAAGGACTGTTCTTATGAACAACTCCAAGGTGTTCAGGGCTTAAGGAAAGAGGTCTTAGCCCCAAGCCCAGAGTGGGGTCTACTCAGTTAGCACTGGTTCCCTGGACCAGGTGCATCCCATGGGCTGAACTTTGACTCTGGGTGGTGAAGGGGTTCACGGGCCCACACTGCCTCCTTCCAGCAGAGAGGCTCCTGCCACCCACAGAGACCCAAGTCACCCTTCAGGGACTGCGGACAGGGGTGGTGTACACGGTTCAGGTGCGGGCAGACACGGAGTGGCTCCCGGGTGCCTGGAGCCAGCCCCAGCGCTTCAGCTTCGGTGAGTGGAGAGGCAGGGGCAGCTGTTTACCGAGCATGCACTGCGCCGCAGCCCCCTAATGACTTGCACAGCCCCTTCCTGACCTAAACTTTCTTGTGTGGCTTTCCATGGGCCTCAGGAGAATGTAGTAGGCCGGGGGTGGGGTAGGGGGCTGCCTCACCTGCCTGCAGGGCTTGATGTTGCCTGCTTGTCGAACTCTTATTCATCCTTCGGAACCAAGCTTTAAGGCTCCCTCCTCCAGGAAGTTTCTCTGCCCCACAGTGATACATGAACTGCGCCTGTGCTCTGCTTTGATACCTCGGGGGGCCTCTGGCTCTGGGTCACCTGTGTCTCCCCCAGGCAGGGGGCTCCGAGGCAGGGGAGGGAGGGGAGAGCAAGGAAAGGCTTGACTCTCCCTGAAGCGAGCGCCCCTCCCCCAGAGCTGCAGATTTCCCGCCTGTCCATCGTCTTCGCCTCTCTGGGGAGCTTTGCCAGTGTCCTCCTCGTGGGTGTCCTTGGATACCGAGGCCTGAATAGGTAACTCCCGCCCTTACCCCGCCCGACATGTCCACTGTGACAGCAACGAGGATGCCCTTGCACCCATTTTATAGAGCATGAAAGCAAGACAAAGGGCCCAGGATTGACCAGGTGATGGGATTTGAACCCTAGTGTGTGAGACCCTCTCCATCCCACACCCGTATAACCTGATGGGGGAGAAGAGAAGGAGTTAGAAATACCTTCTGTGATTCGCTATCCTTTGTCCCAGGGCCGCCTGGCACCTGTGCCCACCCCTGCCCACACCCTGTGCCAGCACAGCTTTGGAGTTCCCTGGCATCCAGGGCAAGCAGGTAAATTTTTCTTTTCCACTTCTGGCTGTCGCTTGCTGAGTAGCTGAGTAGCTCATCTGCGAGCCACTGGCTGTGGATGAGTGTACGTTATTCTCTGTGACTCTACTTGAAAGCAGGTGCTCCAACTCCCCTAACCATGCATAAGAACAAGCAGAGACTTTTCTGGAAGGCATGTCATAGACACAGAACTCAAAATGGCTTCAAAGGAAAGGGGAGCTTGAAAAAAACAAACCCCAAGGTGGTGGGTTTCAGGTGTGGGGAACCCAGGGATTCTGGACCCCTCTTGGGGGCAGCTGTTCTCCTTGTGGTTGGCTGGTCAGTGGACCTAGGGGAACAGGTGTCAGTTTCTCCATCACCTGGAGCCCAGCTGGGGTGCACAGGCCGGCTGAGTGCAGGTCACCTACTGGACCTTCTTCAAGATGGTCAGGACTTTAGACAACTCATCAGGAGCTGGCCCAGCTCACTATACCCTGACACTGCCTACAGCCCTGACCCATAGCCCTGGCCCCGCCCATAACCCTGGCCCCGCCCACAGTCTGTCCTTCTCTCTAGACTTGGCAGTGGAGTAGCCCTGGGGACTTCCCGGAAGTGCTGTGGCCGCAAGAGATGCTAGTGGTGGAGATGCCCTGGGACAGAAATGACCAGACAGAGCCGGCCCAGGCCTGCCCTGAGCCCACCGTGGATCTGGAGCCATCCTTGCAGCAGGACGCAGTCCTGGGTCTGGGCGAGCAGGAACGTTTGGGTGGCAGCCTGGCCCGGAGACTCCCACTCCTGGGAGACCTGACCCAACCGGACCACAAACTTGTCGATCCCTGGTGGACCCGGAAGGGTGAAGAACCGGGACTGTCCACCTTGCCTTACCGGCAGGAGGGCTAACTATTGCAATCATGGTGACTGCTTATTAGATACCTACTGAATACCAGCCAGTTCCTTCTTCATTGATTTCCTAAACCCCAACACCTGGTCACCATGGCTGTGGGCAGGTCCAAGGCTATGGGTGGGTAGGGCTATGAGCGGGTCAGGACTATGGGTGGGGGACGGGATATGGGTGGGGCCAGAGCTGTGGGCGGGTCATGGCTATAGGTGGGGTCATGGCTATGGAGGGGTCAGGGCTGTGGGCGGGCCAGGGCTGTGGGCTGGTCATGATCTGGTCCACCATGCTGTCCTGCTGTATAGATGTGACTACTGAGGCTAAGAGAGTGTCTTCTTACCTGAGCTCACACAGCATCGGCAGGACTCAAACCCAGGCCTGAGTGACCTAGAGCCTCTCTTCCCCCAGCCACGGTGTTCTTCCTTCCCCTTCTTCCAACAGCTGTGGCCACACAGCCTGTGATGCTAACCCTAGAAACTGCCAGGAGCAGAAGACTGCTCTGACCAGTCAGCCAGCCAACACTCAGTGCAGGCATGGGCCCTGCTTTTCTGGGTCTTTCAAGTCTGAGGGGACCTAGTTACAGGCTCAAATTGACCCCAATGTACTGGGCTGGGAGTCCAGCCCCAGGAGCACTAGGCAAGGAGTCTGACTATTGTGGGGGCCTCAAAGTTTGGAGTAGTCAAGGGTGTGGAGACAGGTTGGGGGTTTGTTGAAGACACAGAGCAAGTGCCTAGCATACACCAGGCCCTGGGGTCAGTCCTCAGCAGCACAATAAAAAAGTGGGCAACGAGGGCTCTGGACACTTCGGGGAAGTAACACTCCCCAGACTCAGTTTCCCGCTTGGAGGGTCAAACACTTAGCAAATGGGCAATCTCTCTGATTGAAAATAGGTGCACGCCTGTCATCCCAGCACTCGGGAGGCTGAGGTTGGAAGATCAGCAGTTTGAGGCCAGCCTGGGCTACTTATGAGCCTATCTGGGAGACAGACACTCAGAACTGAGATCAGACTTGGGTAGGAGGGACAGTTGAAGCAAGAGAGGCTGGGTCCCCCAGAACAGGGGTATTAGATGGCCCCAGCGTCCTTTCTCCGCAGGGGATGTGCCCCGAGGTGAGGCGCAGTCTGGCACCCCCTTTCGGGGCACACACTGCCTGGCACCTCAAGTCTCTCCCATCTGCCGGTCACAATGATCGAGATTCTTACTGAACTTCTCCGTGGCCACCAGGGGGCAGAAACGGCACGTGTGCAAAACAGTCTTTTCCAGTTTCAGCCCTGGAAGGATGCATCACCCAGAAGCCCTGCATTTTGTGACTACGGAGCAGCAGGTCTCCAGACCTCCCACACTCTGAGACTTCAATTTCCCCAAGGAAGCTTCTAGCTCTGGAAACAGCTTTGTTCCTCCAGCCTCACCTCACAAAGTGGCTGCACACGTTTGCTGTAGCCCAGGCTAGCCTGAGACGCCTGATCTTCCTGCCTGTCTCCCCGGTGCTGGGGTGACAGATGTGTGCTGCACATCTGGCTCTAGCTAGTTTTGGGGGTATCTGCTGGGAGGAGGGGAGGCTGAGTTGGGCAGAGGAGTTCTGGTGTGCCAGGGAGAGAGCCATTGAGATGTTTGCAGCCTGACAGCCAAAATTTTCCATACAGCTCCCCCCTTTTTGTAGTTGTTTTTTGAAACAGAGTCTCCCTATAGTCCCCAGATGGGCTGGAACTCAGTATGTAACCCAGGCTAGCCTTGATCTCCCAGAGATCCTCCTGCCTCAGCCTCCCGAGCACTGGGATGAGTGTTGTATGTCACACACCTGACCCTCTGCCTCACCCGTCTCCTTAACCTCTGTCTGTCTTGGGGCTGGGGGGTGGTGAAACGGGAAACTGATCTCCCGAAGGTACAGAGGTACAGGCTGCTTCAGACCCCCCCCCCCATACTCCAGGCTGCATCTTTCTGGTAACTGTGCTATGTGCCTCTGCGTTCTAGCCAGGACTAGGCTGAGCTATCACAGGCTCTGGAGTGGTAGGTAATCCAGCCACTGGGCAGCCAGAGCTGGGGGGTGGGGGGGGTGGAAACGGGAACCTGTGCCCCCGAGGGTCCAGGGTTACAGGCTGCTCCAGCCCCCCCCCCCATACTCCAGGCTGCATCTTTCTGGTAACTGTGCTATGTGCCTCTGCGTTCTAGCCAGGACTAGGCTGAGCTATCACAGGCTCTGGAGTGGTAGGTAATCCAGCCACTGGGCAGCCAGAGCCACTGCCTGCACCTGACACCAAACACTTCACAGCGAAGCCCTCCTGGGCTCTCCCCTCTTCTGTTACGTTGTCTTTAAGCTGCAGTGCCCACATTCCCCACAGTTCCCTTCTTTAAAGTGCACAGCTCAGTGTCATTTAGCAATTCACATTGTGTGTACAAAGCACCTCTGCCTAGAACATTCCAGAACATTCCATTCCAAACGCAAAAGCAGCCATCACTTGTGAGCTGCTTCTGTTCCCCTCCCCTGTCACAACCCCTGATCATCTCTGGATTAACCTGTTCTGGATGTTTTCTATCAACATGGCCCACAGGACCTTTGTGCTGATGGCTGTCCATCAACATCATGTTTTTGAGGTTTTTTGACGTACATCAGCGGCTCTTTCCTTTTCATGGCTGAATAATATTCCATGGTGTGCCTGGAATATGTTGTGTTTATTTATTCATCTGCTGACTTGCACATGGGTGGTTCTGCTTTTCTAGCTGCTGTGAATTCCACAGCCTGTCTGCTCAAGTTATGGTGGGAACAACTCCTGTTCACTCTCTCTCTTACTTCTGTTTTCTTCTCTCTCTGTTCTGTTCCCTTTTCTCTCACCTTTTTTCTTTCCCTTTCCACTCCTTTTGTTTCTTGCTGCAAATGAAACTTAGGGCCTTGTGCATCCTTAGCTGGGGCTCTACCCCTGAGCCACATCCCCCAGTCCCTCACTGGGGGATTCTGGGAAAGGGTTCTACCCCTAAGCCACATCCCAAGCCCCTCACTGGGGGATTCTGGGAAAGGGCTCTACCCCTGAGCCACACCCCCAGTCCCTCACTGGGGGATTCTGGGAAAGGGCTCTACTCACCCGAGCCACGCCCCCCCAGTCCCTCACTGGGGGATTCTGGGAAAGGGTTCTACCCCTGAGCCACGCCCCCAGCCCCTCACTGAGGAATTCTGGCAAAGGGCTCTACCCCTGAGCCACACCCCCAGCCCCTCACTGGGGAATTCTGGGAAAGGGCTCTACCCCTGAGCCACGCCCCCCAGTTCCTCCCTGGGGGATTCTGGGCAGGGCCTAGGTGACTGGCATGCTTATCACACTGGTTTCTCCTGGACTCTGAGCCACTTTTCTGCTGAGATCTCGCCTCTTCATCCCCTATCAGGGCGTGAGTCCCGCCCTTCTTGGGTTCCTTCCCAGAATCATCAATGTTTAATTGCACAGTCAGTGGGAGATGGTAGGGCTTTCAGAAACCTCACCTAGCCCAAAGGTGCCCAAAGTCACCAACCTTCCCACCACACATGGAGGTCGCCAGCTGCCCAAGGCAAGTTGGCCTGGTTTCCCTGAGCCCCCCCTCAACTAGGTTTCCATGGCGGTCACTGCTCAGCCCTCCCCATCCAGCTCAGAGCTGCTCCTGACTACTCTCAGTGCCCTGGGCTGACTCAGCCCTGGACCTTCCTACTGGGAGCCAAACAGCAGGCGGTGCACAAAGACCACTCCCGGGCAAGAACAGGGTTTCCCTCCCAGGTTCAGAGGCTCTTTCCAACTGGAGCCTGGAAGAGGAGGTCATACAGTCAGTCAACAAGCCTCTCAGAGATAGGGCTCAGGTTGGGCTATGAAGCTAGGTCTTCTGCAGGCCTCAGTTTCCCTGTTGTGGAAATGGGGACATTAACACTTCTGGGGGGGTCTGTGAGAGGTGACAGGGGCCAAACAGATGGGCCAGTATTCGAAGCCACCATCATCCTGGATAATACTCAAAGATACTTGGTGTGCTAGGGACTCAACTCACATGCAGCTTCTGGCTCCCGGCAGGTGCGGCTATCGCCTCGTAGCCTGTCTTGTATCTCTCTCTGTCTCTATATCTTTCCCTGTCTTTCTTGATCTCGCTCTGTCTCACTCTGACCCACAGTCCTGGGGCATCAGGTCTCTCACACAGAGATGGCTGAAGTGGCTGGAGGCATAGGCAGTCTTGTCCTCTGCACCCCTGGCCTCCACCAGCCCTATGCGAGGTGGGAGACTGAATGAAGCCACCCAGAGCTGCTGGATGTCAGAGGGTGACTCCCTAAGGTCCCATCCTCCTCCTGCCGGAGCCTCAGTTTCCCCATCTGTAAAGAGGATGGGTGTCCCTGAGTCAGGGTGGCTGCCCAGAGCAAGTGAACCTTCACGAAGCTGAGTGGGGGGTTACCCAGCACTGGTGGTGTAAAAACTGCGGAGATCAAATCAAAGGTTCTAGAGATGGGAAGTGCCTGAGTGGGAGTTCTCCCATCCTGGCTGCCGCTGAGCTTCCCACCTGTCTCCTCCATGCAGATCCCTGTGCTCTGGGACCTGTTTTCCCCTCTGTGAGATTGGATGCCCCCCTGCCCCCCACCTCTTTTTGGTCTTTTTGAAACAGGGTCTCCCTGTCGCTCCAGCTGGTCTGGAACTCACTATGTAGACCAGGCTGGCCTTGAACTCACAGAGATCCACCTGCCTCTGCCTCCCAAGTCTTGGGACTACAGGCCACCATGCCCAGCATGCTGCGCTGTCTCTTTACTTCCCACTCCCTACATCCACCAGGAAAACTCTGGTCCCTGCTCAAGGACCAAAGCAGCCTCTTCTCAGGCCCCCCCCCCCGACGACCAGCTGGTGGCCTGAGTCACCTGTCTCTCTGCATTGGCATCTGCCTTCCTCGCTCTGTCTGTGATCCCTTCCCAGCAGCTCACCCTTGCCTGCCTCAGGGCATTTGCATGGGCTGTGCTTCTCCGGGAACCATTCTTCCTGCTCACATGAAGTCTGACATGTGGGCTTGGCGGTCTTTAGTTGCTGTATACAGTGAGGGCTT